TTATTATTATTATTACTAACAGCTGCCTGTTGCATAGAAGAGAAAGAGAAGGTTGACGACAATGAGGAAAATCTGCGTGTTTCCCAGTGCAATAAATCGGACGCAATCGGGTCTGCCAAGACGCGCAAAGATTCGTGGTTTAGAAGGCTGCCAAAACGTGCCCACTTTACTGTAAAAAAAATATAATGCGAATCGCCACTGCGCCTCCGAGCCGGCGGCACTGCACGAGCTATGGCGTCTCAGCAGTAGGACAACATGTGCATATCTTACTTACGTGTACCGTGCTACTTAATTGGTAAAAGTACCACGTTTTTACATACTTAATTTACAGCCCACAGAAAAGGCGGATCTGATGGAGGAGTTTCGCGAGCAGATGCCTATTTTTGGTGGACGCTCTGCTATCCTACCTGAAGCTCACAAGCAGACTCTACAGGAGGAGAAAAAAAGAATTCGTGAGGTAACGCCACATCGAAAAGTCCTGCGAGGTCCTCGTCGCTGGAGATGAGCTCTTTCATCCCCGAAAATGCGTTTGACCTTTTTCCACCACCTGCTGTATAGTTACTTTACATAGGCTTCTTTCTTGGACACGGCTAAAATGGCCTACTGTCTACTCGGGCTGTTTTTATATGGTACTTGAAAAAATTACATCTATGTATGCATTGCGCCCTCCAGACTGTCTTGATGTTTCTTGGAATTGAATTTGACCAGTGCCATCTCCCAAGTCGGGAGCGGGCTTCAGTCTCGATTCTTGGGAGTTACATTTATTTTGCTCATTTGTGCAGTGAAAGTCATCGGAATACTTTGGTGAGGCATGTCAGCTTTCGTGAGCTGTGCATATTAGCGTTGACAATTAAATGTAGAGTTATTGGTTAAAGTGGCATTGGACCTAACAATTAGCTCCCACAACGAGCTGTGCTGGGTCAAAACGCGCTGAGGCCAGCTCGTGACGGGCCTTGCAAGTAGGCGTTCACGCAGCCTCGTCTAATACGCCCAGTTTTGTTAAGTGACCATCACTTTACAAATAAACCTTATTATTATTATTACTAACAGCTGCCTGTTGCATAGAAGAGAAAGAGAAGGAAGGTGGGTTACCCCAGGAAGGCGGGTTACCCAGGAAAGGAGGGTTACC